TAGTTCATATTTCTTATATAATAGCATGAAGTTGTTTGTCAGAGTTGTGCTGATTTATAAAGAGAAGATCAATATCTGTGCTCAGTATCATGACCGTGTCTTCCCCTCTCTTCCCTGCAGGCTGTGGTCGGCCTGATCCGAAACCTGGCCCTGTGCCCAGAGAACCAGGCCCCTCTGAGGGACGCTGGAGCCATCCCCCGCCTGGTCAACCTGCTGCTCAAAGCCCACCAGGACGCCCAGAAACACGGCTCCTCCACCCAGCAGACATACCAGGTACGAGAGGGTTACTGAATAACTACGTGTGGGTTGTGGAAACGAGTAGTTTTGAATTATTTAGGAACTTCTCTAAACCAGAGTAACATGTCCTCTTCTCATCCCGCCCCCCAGGATGGTGTGAGGATGGAGGAGATTGTGGAGGGATCCACAGGAGCTCTGCACATCCTGGCCAGAGACCCCATCAACAGAGCAGAGATCGCCAACCTGCAAACCGTTCCTCTGTTTGTTCAGGTAACACAAGAAACTCAATCTCTCACACTTCCTAGTCTTGTAAATTAACTTCCTGGGTTGAATAGCCAAAACAAGAGAGACTCCTTCTGGAGTGAACATTGGGAATGTAGCTTTTGCAGACCATTTACATGCACAAAGACTTATATAACTCAAACCCAAAAGAGCATGATGGGGCCCCTTTAAAAGCCAATCTAGATACTCAATGTGGTTTAAAACCAAAAATGCTAATTAAGCACTGGAATGATCTTTGTTTGTCGTTGTTGCAAAGAATTATTAGACGGTATTATCTCCTTTCCTTCTTTTAAAGTATCGTCCCTTTAAGTCCTATGCTAAAGGAGATAACAAGAGAAACATTGAAGCTCCGTTCCTTAGCATTCAGACAGCTGTTATCATGGCTGCCACCTCGGTACTTCTGGGTCATTTTACCCATTTTAAGAACTTTCCTAAGCAAAAACCTTTTCCACTGCAAACCTGGTGTTTTATTTTGTAACTTATATCCTTTCCTCCCTCTCTCCAGCTCCTCTACTCTCCAGTGGACAACGTGAAGCGCGTGGCAGCGGGGGTGCTGTGCGAGCTGGCCCTGGACAAACAGTCGGCCGAGCTGATCGACAGCGAGGGGGCATCGGCTCCGCTGATGGACCTGCTGCACTCCAACAACGAGGGCATCGGTAGGATAATGCACTGCGATTAGCTCAGCGTAATGTAGCGTTCAGGTATAGGTGGAAAGGAACACAGGCACTTTTCTCAAGTGCTGTACTTGCCGTTAGTGCCGTTTCCAGGTACTTTACCCCACAAGACCATTTGGTGAGACGTTGTACTACAACTCCACTGCATTTCAGAATGACTGATAGTTGACAAAATGATACAATCCCATCATAAAATACTGCAAAGTGGAAGATTTTAAACAACACTTTGGGTACTTGCTCAAGGTTTTTTTTTTTATTGGAATTTTTTATGATTTGCATGTACGAGAAAATGTGAGACTTTAAAAATGATCAAACAATATTTAAAGTCTTAATAAGATTTTCCAGGTGATCATTGGAAGATTTGATCAATAATGCGTCAGGTAGTTCTCATGTTGTGACTCAGTTATTAGCATGAGAACTCCTCTGGTGTTTTTCAGACAAACATTTCTGGACTTGTCTCCCTTTTTGATACACCCACACTTAAGCACATTACTGTTGTTGCAAGTATTATTATAAGGAGTGGTCGTTCTTGTACATGACTGAATATTCTCCTTTTTTTTTTCTTTCAGCTACTTACGCAGCAGCTGTGCTCTTCCGCATCTCCGAGGATAAGAACTCAGACTACAAGAAGCGAGTGTCGGTGGAGCTCACACACTCCCTGTTCAAACACGACCCCCAAGCATGGGAGTTGGTGAGTGTCTGCCGCCCTCCACTGACAACTTGACATAAAGACAATTATTTTTATTTAATGTATTTAGAAATCCTCCCAACTCTTTGGGTTTAAATCTTGGCAGCTTTTATAAAATGCTGACATCAGTATTTAAGAAGATTCTGCAAACAATTGGTTTTGAAAAAACTTTCTTATTACATTATCCTAATAATCCTTTAAGGACTATAAATAAACTGTCTATATTGAAGTGATGAGTTATTTGACCTTTGCCTTCTCGTTACCGCCGCAGGCCCACAACAGCGTCCCCATGGATGGACCCTATTCAGAAGGTGAGTAACTATGCCTGAAATCTGCACATGCAGCACATTCCTCAGCACAGGGTCACTCCACCACAGGGAGCGACCGCAGTGTGACGTGCCGTCATCTGCTAACGGGACGCTGCCCTGCTGAAGCAAAATTAGGAAAAAGAAGATTGAATTAGTCATTATATTGAGCAACTCTCTCAAAAATGACTTGGTATCCCAAAAGGCCTACTTAGAATCTCTAAATAAGGAAAAACATCGTCAAAATATTGACTAGGTATCTTAAATAATAACCTTAAATCTCAAAATGACTATCTTAAAATAATGTCTAAGTAGCTAAAATGAATGACTTGATAACTTAAAATTAATGACTAAGCATATCGAAAGAAGGATTTAGCATCAAAAGATCATTATTTATATCTCAAAGAAATGAAAAAACATGTTTTATGTTGCAGAAATGGATCCTAATTTCCCATCCTACGAAGCGTACCCAGGGGACATGCACATGGACAGAATGGAGGGAGTGATGATGCCGGACGAGTTCAATATGCCCTACGAAAGAACGGACAATTATTAAAGGTCAGTTGATGCTAACGTTGCCTCAGCCAATCAGGATCTGTTTTCTTAAAATCCCCCTGAGAGATTGGTTTGAATTAATCCACTTTTCTCGATTGATCATTAATAATAATAACGACCAGATAATAAGCAATTTAATAAACAAAACATCTCCTGGTATTCTGTATTAAGAGAAGTCGTTTGAGCTACGGAAGCCCTGAGAGGCTAGTGGGAACTTTTTTTTTCGTGGTGATCCATTTAATGAAAGGTTATGCCAGGATAATCTTTGTAATTTCTTTCAAATAATTTCAATGTAATCTGTGGAAAAGGTTCTATATTTTTGTCATTGTTTGTGTTCATTTCTCTCTTTCAAAGGAACATGTATTGGTTTTTTAGCAAGTTTTTACTTATTGTGGTCTAATCTTATCCAATGTATTTATTAGTCTGAAGTTCAATTCCACTAACAATTCGTTTGACTTATGATATAGGATTGCTGTAAAAGTAATACAGATCTGGAATGTTTTTTTATTTTACAATGTAAACATAATGAACTGTTTTCCTGATTGGTGTGGGGAATTGTGAGACCTATTTTCCCCAGTGAGACAAAAAACTGAAATCTGTCTCGAGTAATCATTTTTCTTCTCATGTCTTTCTTTTGCTCTTCTTATAGTTCCAAAAGAGACGGAAAGGTCTTGCGTAGGACACGGTGACAAACTGGGACAAAGAAGAAGATCTAGTCGTCCGTAGAGATTATTCCCTCTGCGCTCAGCCTGATGTAATATATGCAATTATCACCGAGTACGGGACTCATAATCTTAACAGGGCTCAACTTTGTTTTATAGTATAATTCTGCTGATTATAACTCGGACGATGCTTTTAGGTTTCTGTTAGAGAACCTTTTAAAAGACTGTGTGTATGTGAGTGTGTCTGTGAGTACGTGTGTGTTTACGCTTTTGGGTGGGTATTCTATGCCAAAGAGATTTTATTTTGTGATGATAATCGTGTAGCTTCCTTCTTTTTTCTTTTTTTGTACGTAAAAAAAGAAAAGAGTAATAGTTGAAAACACTGCCGGAGGTGGCTCAACGTGCACGGTGCACATGCTCACCGTTTCTTTTCTTAACGCCTTTGTAACAGACACTACTGTCTACGCTGTAGTTTTGACATTATATGCTGTCAACTTTCTCCCGCCTGACCCAAAAAGAGTTATTTTACACACGCTCGCTCTTTTCTAGCGGCACTAATTCAGTAGGAATGAACAAAAGAGAGGTCTATGAGGGAGCAGTGTGTAGGGCCCCCCCTGCTGGTTGTTTGTTTTTAGGAATTGTTTCTCATCTTTTATAAGTTATTCACTGGGAAAGGTTCACATTATCCGGCATTAGCAGAATATTAACAAAGATGTCTCTGAGCTGAATTAGAAGCGATTTCTATGTGACCGTAATCATTAGATGGAGAACAACAACGATGTGGTTTTACAGACGTTTAAATACATTTTAGTCGAGGTGTTGTGATGTAGACGGGGATGGCCCTACAGCTGGAGCGAACTACTGACGGGGAACATTTTGTCTTTCTACTTAATAAGAGTTTTTACTGAAATTTTGTTTAATAAAAATAAAGGATATATTAAACATATTATGGTGTCCATGTTTTCAATGATTTACCGGTTTTCCAATTTATGAAAATATTTATAGTTGCATGAAATGTAAATGCACATTTGAAGTCGTTTTTACACATGAAGTAATATTTAGCAATTTCTCTTTCTTTTTCCCTTAATCTACAAGAATAATTTTATTTTTGGAAAAGTCCAGCACAGAGAACATGTTGTTTTTGAAACATATTCTGGTTTATAACATCTGATTGATGTGATCGATCAGGTCCACATTAAGTCTTTGAATTTTAATATCAAATTAATCAGAAAACGGAACATACTCTTTAAACCTTAAAAATACATGGCTTTTGCTTAATCGGGTCAGTGTTTTTTTTAAGGGATTCTGTTAGTCTAAAAGTCCATTTTAATTTTTTTAATTAGTGAAAATCAGGATTTAAACAAAGTAATTGAGAATATTGATTGTTCCTTTTATCATACACTCTTTTGGTTCATTACCTTTGCCAAAGAAAAAGCTATAACATGACCTAAACCTGTGGCTGGAAAACCTTTAACAATATGAAGGAGCACTATGACATTAATGGATGTAATATTTCAGCTGGGAATAAAAAAAACAAACTTTTTAAAACACTTTTGCATCGCAACTGTCGTTTTATTCAACTTAATCATCGTTCTTACCTAAATAAATCAACATTTCAACAGCCAGTCATGCACACACAGTATACGGTTTTACAATACATGTGATTGGTGAGAACAGTCGTATCTCATAGGAACATTGAGGACAGATTTAATAACATGTTATTCTTAGATTATTGCTTGTTTTCAAACCTCATCCCTTCATCAGAGCCGTCCTTAAAACTGAGTACAAAAAGTGATCATTTACATTTTCTACAACATTTTGAGCATTGTTCAATTTGCTCCTTGTGTCTGCACATTCATTCATTCATGCAAGAGAGAAAGTACAAGTGAATGAGTAAAGAGGCCTCGAGAGAAGCCTGCATATATCTGCTTGTTTGACCCTTCTGTTCATCAATGCTTAGCTGCTTTACTTCAGCATTAAATACGCGTGTTCAAATAATTCTGCTCGGAACATTTTAACCAGTCTCAAGATCTTAAACACCACATGTTTGATGCCTTCCTGTACACTTTTGATAAAGACATTTCAGGAGAAGATGGGTTTTTGGGGTAGATATCCTCAGGACATTGCACCGCTCTGTTTAGGATCCAGGAGCACCGTTCACTCCTTCTGGGGGCTGAAGAACTAGATGAGGTCCACGCAGAAGAGAGAAATCTAGTTCCTAAAGATTTAGATCACATTGTCGAACATGTGCATGGACTGCATGATGCTTTCATCCTGGATGAAGAAACAAGGGGACACAGTTACATTCCTGAGAAAGCTGCAGAGGGATTTGAAATGGTTGGACGCAGCAGACCTTTTGGCATGTGTCCAAGAACTCCTCGATGGTGACCACTCCGTCTTTGTTCTTGTCCATTTTCTGAAAAATAACAAACAGGGAGAGATTTTTCAAAGGGTAACTAAAAGGAAAACAGGAAATCTTTTAGTGTTGCCACCCAGCGGAAACCTTAAAAAGTGAATCCGAAACAACTTAAAGCCTTAATTTGCATTCTTTCTAATGGCCGGCAGGAGGCCACTTCACTGGTTCGAAAATAAGTCTGTTTCTATAGAAGTCTATGAGAAAATGATCCTATCTTCTATTTCATTAATTAACTCAGTAGACTATTTCATTAATTAACTCAGTAGACTATTTCATTAATTAACTCAGTAGACTATTTCATATTAAGATTATTGTGGTCTTAAAGGTGGGGTATGTAATTTTGGAGAAACCAGCTCGAGTGCGCTAGAATTTGAAAATACACAACCGGAAAAAATCTGCCACTTCCTTACAGAGCCCCTCCTCCAACACACACATGACCAATGAGGGCACGAGATAAATTGGTGCAGAAGGCTGACAGGCAGGTAGGCCATCCAGTTACTTTAGCCGGGCCGGCTCAGATGATTGGTCGTGCTTTTTACAGTACTACGGCTTCCACAGATGAACATTTTTTATGTATTTATTGTCAAAGCATTTAATGTATTCATTGCTATCGGGATGTTAAGAGCATTCCATGGAATATAACAAAAAGTGTTTCTGAAATAAATTACATACCCCACCTTTAAGCGTTAGTCTCAAGCCATCTTTAATAGAACATGATTTTTGTAATTTATTGTCTTATTTTTAGTCAAATAGACAATAAAGCAGGTTATGCTTTTTTATGGAGAAGTCCCTCTCACAGCGTTGCTCTGCATTTTGTTGCATAAAATACTTTCCAAGGAGTCGGCTCCTCATTTTTGCCCCATTCGCTACATTTGCTAGCATTAGCTTTATCTGGTAACTTTAGCTGCCCTGCTCCTTCCTGGCTCCACCATCTTTAAACCGCTTTTAAAAAAACAAAAAACAAGATGCAGACCAAAATGCCAGACTAAATTCCTAAAAGCTGTAGACCACAACATGTTGTAGCAGCAGATTATTATGGATTCATTTGTAATGTTTTAGCAGAATAATTCTAGTGAGATGTAAAACACTTTAAAAGCACACTTTTAGTTAAAACCAATGAATTGCAAGTCCAAAATTGAAAAAGCAAATCGAATCAAATACACCTGAATCATTTGGTGTGGTGAACATAATATGTGTTTACCTGGAAGAAGTTGTCAACATGCTCCTTGGAAGCATTTTCCTTCATGCAGGGGTAAGTATACTTCCCCATCATGTCATAGATGGAGCCCATGATGTCTGTCATCTCCTGGACAACAGAAGGGAGGAGAAGAGATGTGAACAAATGAAGCGCCACCCAGAGCTGCCCATAACACGAGACAAAGAGAGAGAGATAGAGGTTCACGTACCTCTCTGGTGATGCAGCCATCTTTGTTGAGGTCGTACAGATTAAAGGCCCAGTTGAGTTTATCGGTGATGGATCCTCTCAAGATGATGGACAGACTGACAATAAAGTCCTACAACAAGAGAAAGAAACCAGAGCTATGATTGAGATCAGAAAGTGATTAGGACATCAGTAGGAGTGATTCAACATATAAATATAGAAGCAGGAGGATCAGGAAAGGGAAATAAGGAAGAGGGATATTGATATATTGGTCTTGGTAAAGAAATATGTTACAGCCATCATCAGAAAAAAACAAATGCTTATAAATATTACACTTCTCTTGGTCTCTGTAAGTTTGTATTTACTGTGGGGTAAAGCCAGTGAATATTCGACAAAAATTACAGTAACCAACCAAAGTTACTAAGTGCTTAACAATAGATGTTGTCTTATCTTAGTCTTTTAAAACGACAGAGTTGTCACTATGGAGCATAAAGGAGGGAAACTCAGAAGTGGAGAAAATGAAGGGGGACTATTGGCTGGACAGTAGAGCGTGAAGGGGGGGGGGGAGACGTCACCTCAAAGCTGACCGATCCATTGTTGTGGGTGTCAAAAGCTTCAAACAGGAAGTGTGCATACATACTTGAATCTAGATGCAAAGAGAAAATAAAGTGAGAAGAGTGATCCAAATAATGCAGTATAAGAGTATGGACTTAAACAGCGATATCATCTGGTGTCGTTTTTAAAAGTCTTTAATAATGAAGCTATAAAGATGCACAATATTTTACATTTAATACCACAAAAATGCTGGTATCTTGGTAAATAGATTGAGAATAAAGCTTACATATATGACATAGATGAGGTTGATAACTATGGAAGGTATTTTCTGCCAATATGATGAAGGGAAAAGCTGACCCTAATAGTCATTATGATATCATATACTATAACTCACTATTTTTGAGAGAATTGACCTTTATTTTGCTATAATAAGTCATTTTTTGAGATTATTTTTTGAAATACAAAGCAGTCTTTACTTTGTTTAAAAGTCTAAGTTTCATCGTTTTTTTCGCTGGCTGAAAAGGGCCTCCATAGCTTCTGACTGACCTCCATGAGGGAAGAACTGGGAGTAGATGCTTTTAAAAGTCTCTTCATTCACCACCCCACTCGGACACTCCTGCCAAATGAAAGAAAGAGATCTGTAAACGGAAAGCACACCGGCTTTCTCATGCACACATCTAATTCAATATCACTCCATAAACTATGGTCAGTAAAAAATAATTAAAAAGTGCACAAATCAAACATTGACTGACGTTTTTGAATCCCCGGTAGAGGACCTGCAACTCTTTCTTGGTGAAGTTGGTCTGCTGTACGAGGCGGTCGATCCTCTCCGGTCGGTAACGCACCGTTGACAGTTCGTCATCATCACTTATGTTACCTTGAGAGATAAATGAAATAGTTACTCCCTAACATGAAATGCCTTGTCGAGACAAAATAGAGAAAGTGCTGAAAATACAGAAAATACAGAAAAGCAATTAAGTAAAAGAGTGTCAAAAGTGTCAGGCAAAATGTTGAATTGAATAAAGTGATAATGGACTGTGTCACTTGCTTTGAGTAATGGAAGAGCTGGAGCCAGAGCGACAGCAGGGCAGAAGTTTGAGGAAGCGCTGCTTTATGGTCTTTTTGTTGGGTTTGGATGGTGGATTACCTGGAAACAACCAATCACAGCACAGATTAGCGGCGGATACAGTGGCCCACATTAGGAACACCATGTTAGATGGATACAACGCTGGCCAAGCTACAAGCAAATACTTTTCATTACTTTTCACCCCAACTTAATGCTCACAAATTAGTTTGCTGACCTGGCTTTGAACCAGTGTGACCCGTCGGATCAAAGTTGTGGGAGAGCGTCCATCATGTGAGGGCTGAGGAAATGACTGGATATACAGAGGTCAGTCAGAGTGTGACCTACATGCTTCAGACAGCCTATATAAGAAGTATTTGTAATCCTTTTTTTTTTAACCAGAAGCTGTCTTTGAATACAGACACCGTATTTAATTGATTTATTCTTTGTTTTTTGTGAGGTGACACTACTCATTTCAAACCTTTATTAACCAGATGAATCCCATTGAGATCAATGCAACAAAAGTTTAAAGGTCCCATATTATACACTTTTTTAACAATACTAGGTCTCAGATATATACAAAACATGTCTCTGGAGTGTTTGGCTGAAATACCAAACAGATCATTGTAGCCTGCCATAAACCCCTCTGTTTCAGCCCTCTTTCAAAAGTGCTGATTCTATATCTGTAGCTTAAATGCAAATTACATGCTACTTGTTAGACGCTTTTATCCAAAGTGACTTACATACTCAATACTGTGGACAATCCCCACAGGAGCAATTTGGGGTGAAGTGTTTTGCCCAGAGACACAACGACATGCTGACTGCAAATTAATTGCCAAACTCCCCACGCCCCACTAAGAGATGATTGTTTTGTTTTTTTAAACTATGGTGCTCTAGGACAGTGCTTCTCAAACTTTTTTCAGTCATGTACCCCCTTTGAAACATTTTCTCAGCCGAGTACCCCCTGACCGACCCCGAACATTTTTGATCGAAAAAGCCTATACAAATAATTCCAATATAGTGGTGTTCCCTCAGTGTGTGATGTATTAACTCCTTCATGCATGCATTACAACAAACTAAGGATATTTTCATTTTATGCATGAAAAAAAATAACATAATGAAAAAAAATGTAAACTGATTTTTCCAAGGAGTTTTTCAACTGAAGTAATATCTGTTTAACAAACCAATGAACACAATTATATATTATGCAAAACTATAAAATACAATACACACATTTGACATGTTTATATGAGGACCCCCTTGGTGGTTCTAGGAATATTTTATATACAATTGTGTTTTCTATTTAACTTATTGTACTAAGATTATTTTTGTAATCATGCATGGTATTTTTTCTATTAACTTTTTTTTATTTTATTTTTTACATTTCACGTACCCCCTGCAGTACCCCAACGTACCCCTAGGGGTCCGCGTACCCCCATTTGAGAATCACTGCTCTAGGAGGAGATTCAGGTGATAAGGTGGGCGGGTGTTACCTTGGTAGCTTATTGGCTAATGGTTACACAAACCCAAAAAACCTTGTGACATCCCAAAGTGGCCAACATCTGATCAGCTCATTGTCAGACAGGTTTTTATATAAATGGATCAGGACAAAAAGAGAGAGAATCTTTTTTCCTCAAACTTTCTGAGTCTCTTTACACAGAGGGGCCACATGTTGATGTATAAAAGTCATGAAAAAGAGGATTTTTCATAATAGGAGACCTTTAAACAAACATTTTGCCACGTCTGGACCTGTATGCAGCCACCAGAGGGCAGTGTTGAACTACAGTCAGATAGAAGTTTTCTAATTTATAAGGCCTCAAAGTCCCAGGAAGGAAGAAGATATACAGACAGGAAACAACTATGTATGGAATGCCATTTCCACCAATGTAATGAAAAAAGAGCATGTTATTATTTTAGGAAAGTTTCTCATTATAAGGTCTTAGAGGTTGTTTTTTTTAATCACAAGGCTACTTTTTTAAGTTTATGTTCTTTGTGTTTTCAATGGTTGGGAACCCTTGCAACCGGATTGAATCTGGAGGCATTGAAGTGCTCTAACGGATGAGCAGCTTCAGTCAAACAGGGGTTTCTGATGGAACAAAGGGCAGCTTCACAGGAGCCACGTGGCACCCAAAATGAGCACACTGAACCGGCCTAACCAGGTGAAAGGCAAATAAACACACCCACAATACATTTAGGAAATATATTTAAATCAAATAAATTCCCATATACAAAACACAGATGAATAAGGCCAAAGCACACACAAGTTTTACTTAACAAAGCAAACTCTACATAGAACCCTTTCAATAACACGCCAACAGCAGTGTTAGGAACTGTGGTGGCTTTCAACTGTATTAGTACCAAATGTAAACTTCAAAATTAAGTAAATAAATGTATAATAAATAGATGTATATTCATAAAACTAAACTCAAAAAGCAACTTTGACAACAGACTAATTTTATTGGAAAATGGTCATCAGCAGGGGTGAAGTATACTCAGATCTTGTAGAAGTACCCGAGTGTAGGAATACTCTGTTACAAGTATAAAACCTGCAATCAGATGTTACTTAACTAAAAGTATAAAAGTAGATTAGCCCATTTTAGAATAATAAATATCATATGTTTTATTATATGCAGCCAGTTTGAATGACTTTGTATACTGCAGGGTAGCTTGTGAATTTACCCCAGGTGGAACTAAAGACTGTGTAAGTGTGATTATATTTCAAGTAGCAAAAGTTTTTTTAAGTATCTCAAAATTGTACTTAAGTACAGCACTTGAATAAATGTACTTAGTTACTTCCCATCTCTGGTCATCAGTAACGTAAAGTAAACAGGGACTACATTGTACGTACAACAGCAGCATTACTACAGGTTGAAACACACTGGAGTGTGAAAACAACAGCTCAACTTCTTTAGTAAGGCAACACAGGGAGACAAAGTGTTGCCCAATGTCATATCAAATATAGCTGAACAATGTCTTCCTACTCCATGATGGTAATCTGCTTCTGTAAATAAGCATGCCTATTGATCAGATTTCATAATGTGGGAACAAACCAGTTGCTGCTCTGCCTTTATGTGTAGGATATGTCAATCCAACTCACAAACACAGCAGCTGCACAACTAGGGAACAACAAACAAAGCCTCACACACACACACACACACACACACACACACACACACACACACACACACACACACACACACACACACACACACACACACACACACACACACACACACAAGTGATGAGGCTGACACAAACAGCCTTTTTTATTTATTCTTCTAAAACTAGAGAGCCATTCTGCAGGACGACAGAAACGACATCAAACCTCCCTGCTGTTTTATGTCTTTCTAGCTGATATATTTAGACGCGACAGGGTGCAGAGCAGATATAAATATACATATTTTCCAAGTTATCAAAAAGCTCTCTTAGGGAAGCTGTTTGATGTTAAGCAATCTGGCAAAAACAGAGCGAACCAGGCATTATTTAAAGAGTTACATAAGATCATAAGCCTCAGCTGGACAAAATGTAACTATGCACTGTCAGCCAATATAAAGGATTGTGTGCATGATGTAACAATATAAGCAAATGCAACATATTTAGTGTATTAAACTCTGTGTGGCAGATTGTAGCAGTAAGAAACATGTCAGTTGTCCCACTTAACAGACTGATCATTGAACGTTACGTCTCCAGGGTCGAACTGATGGGTAACTGAGTTATTTGAGCAGGAGCTGAGATCCTCCATCCCTCCTGGAGACCCTGTGAGTAACAATCCATTTCAACCAATGCAAGCCCTCTGAGGCGGATCGATACGCCATTCCCTGCTGTTATCGACACATTCAAGACACTTTCATCCACCGGTGCAAACTAACTTTAAGTTTGGAGGGAGAAAAGTGAAAGGCACTGAGAGAGTTTAAGGAATGAGTTCAAAGGCTTTGATGAGGAGTCATCCAGTTAAAAGTCGGTTATTGAGTACTTTGGCAGGTTTTCTGTAGGAGACTGGCATAAATCATTGCATTTCAGTTCATGTTGAAGGGAGAATTAATAAGTCAGAGTATTTACAGACTTTCCCAGGCCTCAAACTACTTCCTAAACTAAGGGCTTTCAATAAGGAAAAAAACTCTGTTTGAATATTGAGTTTAGGAGATTTAGTTAATCACAGTATACGGATTAAAGATTCCCAAACTGACATGTGTAAGCACATTGCTCTCAATAACGTACAAATCCACAGTGTAACCACAGCTTGCTGACCTCCATGGCTCTCTAAAACTAAAGTTTAATTTCCTCCCTGACTATTATCTAATAATAACAAGCAAGCATATTTTAGCAGAGAGTTAGTGAATAAGGAAATGTAATAGTAAGTGAATAAGTAATAGTGAATGATTTGTTACCATAAAATAATTAGTGAAAACGTATGACCCGACAGCTGACATTCATGTTATCATGGCCCTAAACCCCACTACATGAACCGTTCTCAGTTTATTCCCAAGGACATGACACCTAGAGTCGGGTCATGAAACAACAATTACAGTAAAATGTTTAGAAACAAAATAAAAATGACATAGTATGGTATGTCGTACTCTTTCCAACGGTAGTCAAATCCACCAGCAACTCAAAAGCTCGGAAAATACCTTGTTTTTTCAACCTGTAGAAGGCCTTTGAGTAAAATACAACAACACCTTGCCAAGTTACGAGGGGGGGGGGGTTAGCAGGGGCAAAGATATAGTCCCACACATGATTTCTTCTTACAACTTAACATTTAGTTTTTAGCAGATAAAAAAACAAGGAAAGCCAGAGCAATGTCCATCTGTCTTTAATGCTAAACTGAGCTGTCTAGTTCACATTTAATATGATATCTACGAGTTGGAAAGAGAGAATATAAGTGAATTTCCCATTATGTTGAGCTATCGCTTTAAATGAAAATATGACATCATGGCCCTTCATCAGCAGCAGTCAGTCAGGGTCACTGTAACATGTGAAGTGTAGAAAGTGATGACTTGATAGATGGAGTGTCTATAATGTATGAACACAGCCAGGAGGAAACAAGCAGCTTTACTGCGGCAGGGCTCAGTCTGTAGGGACTTAAA